ATTCTCATCCCATGCAATCTCATCCATCCAATCAAACAGAAAAATGGCTCGCCCTATCTATCCAACCAAACAGACAACATGAATATCCATATCCTGAAATCCATGGATGGTCATATCCTATCCACCCTTGTCGTTAAACCAAACACACCCTTAGTTCACGCAGTATTGGATACAAACCTTCAAAACGGCGGCGCCACCACCTCTCTCATCGGTATCTAATTACAACACGCGATTGTCTTCTCCGCCGCAAGCAACTCGAGACACGATTACTAAACCAAACAAATATCGTTTTTCAGTAGTGAGCCAAGAATTACACATATAAGAGGCGTTGAAGAATTTCAAAATATGAGAATTGAGTGTAGCTTATTTATTTAGATTTTGTCTCGAGGTTAGGTTTCTATTTTTCTGAATTTATTCTAGTATTTGACGATTTAACCATGATAGACAACAGGGTGCATGTGATGACTCATGAATATTGAAGTCTACCGGCTTAGGGCTTGTTCGCTTGTCTGAATTCTGGAGGAATCTGGATGGTTTGGAGGAATGCTGGAGGAATTTGTGAGAGAGAAACACTGTTCCGGATGAAAAAAATTAAGCGGATCAAGCCGGGTTTAAGGGCACGCGAACGGGGCCTTAATATTTTGGAAGTGCTCATACCCATGGTAGGTGATCGTGACGGTTGATAACAGGGCACATATGATTACTAATGAATCTTGAAATCTACCGGCTTAGTATTTCGTAAGTGCTCATAGTGGAGTAGGACATGTGTTTGGTCATAGGTGTGTGCGTACGTGGACGTACATGAGCGTCTACACTTATACTGTAATTCACAATAAAAAGGGTTGGTCATCGAATTGTTATTGCTAGTTAAATACATATTTAATAAAATATGAAGTATAATGAAACATACGTATTTTAATAAACCAAATAATTTAATAGAGATATCCTAATATGGTAAGCAAATAAATTTAGATAAATCAAAATATTTTATTTTAATTATATTATGTGATTTTGTTGTCTAAAAGATATTAGTAAACATTATAACAAGATTTTTTATTATACTATTTTAATATAAAGATAGACTATTCACTATATATATATTATATATATATATATAATTGTATTGTTAGGGGGGGGCTCCATGATCGTTTTCCTTACACTGTAATGGATCACCTTGCTACTTGATCACATTACCATTGCCACTAGTGGGTTTAAATAGACTTACTAACAGACCAACTAACTTAGCTAAGGAGCTTCTAACTATTAGTTCTACAAGTTGGTTTAGGGCTACTATTTTGACCTCCCACACCCTTTGTGATTATTTGTTTCTTTTATATTTAATATAATTCAGTAGGTGTCTTGCCCCTTCTGTTCCTTGAAAAAACCACTTATTAGTGACATATTAGTAGATGAATCCAACAACTTCATTAGTAATAATAAGCTAGTAGCTGTTAGCTATTAGTTAGCTAATTATTAGCATAGTAGATCCAAATAAGTAGGTGATGCATATTCCACAAGTTTGAATCTGCTATGGACAGACCAGGTGGGTGTTAATAAAAATAATGCACTAATGTTGTATCTAGACGTATTTGTTGAGGCTGACACAAGGGACTCTACAAATCCGTTACAAACTCTAACGCAAGCTTGTTTGTGAGCAGCTTTCCCATTAGCATATTAGCTTCGCGAAGCTATGTATACTAGGCCAACCCAATACACCAGCGTGGTTGTTATCTTCGCAGAGCCATGTAGGCTTGAACACCACGTGGAGAGAGAGTGGATGGTGGTTTGGCAATGTGTCAGATAGCCTGTAGAAGCAATTATAGCTTATCAGAGAAAGTAAAGCCAAGAGAAGAAAGTGCCTAAGGGAAAAGGATGGCTCATAGCCCTGTAGCACTTCATATCTGTATGCGTTCGAATAATAGTTAGTCCAGTCACCCAAAGCCTTCATGGCAGTAACTTTTTGCTCAGACCACTAGCCGGTGTTGGTATGCGTTGGTGATGCTCTAATTGGCTTATGGTCCCCCGGTCTCTTCAGTTCTCAGCAGAGGTTGGGAGAGCTCACCCCGCCCCCCTCCTCCCGCGCCCGGTTTGCGCAGACAATTAGCCCTTCCAATAATTTTTATTCAATAATGAACAAGAGGAAGACGGAAAAATAGAGAAAGACGAGGAGAACAGAAATATTAAAAACTTTTAACCGGTCAGCCTAGACCCGCTACCAGTTACAAGCGTTTTGGAGTAGAGTGATTAATATTCAAGTTAATTCCCTCAATGCCATTGGAATTTTTACCTCTTCTCTCACTGTCATCGAAATTTCCGAACTTCCCTCACTGCCATCGGAATAAATTAACACTTTCCTCATTGCCATTTCCGTCAAAATCTTTTTGGTTTGCTGTTAAGTTGATCTAGAAATGACCATTTTGCCCCTCCCAAGCAAATGATGTGAAAATTAGAAAAAAAATCATATCTTTTTCATATGATCTCGGATGAAGATGATTTTTACACGAAAATTGTAGCTCTCGATGAGATATACATCTTTCTAGTTTTGAGTTTTTTCATTTGAGATCGTTAAAATGATTTTTTTCGTAATTTTCTCATCATTTGCTTGGGAGGTGCAAAATGGTCATTTCCATATCAACTTAACAGCAAACTTAATGGTTTATGATGGAAATGGCAACGAGTGGCAGTGAGGGAAGTTCGAAAATTTCCAATGGCACTGAGGAAATTGGCTCATTGGCCGGTAGGCCTCCATGATAACTCAGCTGTGAAGCCGTCCGGTCGGGGACGCTTTGTCCGCTTGGCAAAGATTTGATTATTCTCTAGGCATATCTCAGCACGCAGCAGTTGCAACTCCTGGAGATCAATCACCACAGTGAGCCCAGCCTCTTCTGTCTTCACCACGGCGGTTCTGAGAAAGTGGCGTTCGAGCATTTGGGCTTCTCGTCGTGTGTGAAATCAGTGGTGCCGAGGTCATCCTCCAACCGAGTGATTTGTTTTTTCTTTGATCTGTAACTTGGTATTTGCATTTGCAATGACCCTCGCAATTCGCAAAGGTAGGTGAGCATTTCAATTCTTGCGCTCAGTCCAACGCATTGTGACCTCTCTGGCTTCCAAGTAGTTGCTCCTTGATCTGGTCAATCGATTGTTAGCTCCAGCTTTGGAGTTCCCAGCTTCTCGCGCCGTGTTCCTGTCTTCCTGAGAAGTTTCATAGCCAGACACAAAATAAATTGCATTGAATGTTTTTAGGAACCTTTTTGTAACACAGGGGTCCGGTGCTGGGAAACGTTGCTAACCCAACGGTATCTTCTCTCATGTTGGTTCAAAATTTGCCAAGCAATTGGGACGATAAATTCTTGGCTTTAAGCGAGTGACCGAGAAATGAGAGAGCGCTTCACCACGCAAAGATAGAAGCTAGAAACTCCGAATACTCAACATGCCCGTGGGCCGGATTCAACCAGCCTGTTCGACAGGCCGTAAACAATCGTGGATTATTTACTGCTAGCTGTTTTGGTATGAGAGAAAAATATTGTTCCAGCTTATAATTCACGATCGTATACGTGCAAACGAACAGGCCCGTATCATGTGAAAACTTGAAAAACATCAGAGATGACTATGGTTTCAGTTTCATTTTATTAGATAATGCTGGCAATAAAACATCCAGAGGGTCCTAAACGTACAATGCTAGTCAATAAAACATCTTAACAAATTCCAACAAGGAAGTTACAAAGACAAACACCTATGGTTTCAGCTTTATACAGTCACAGGCCGATTCTACAAAAGAAGTGCAAGGCGTTGCTTGTATCTTTCAATCCGACGACTCCGATCCTTTTGCAACCTGTTAGAGAAACATTTGAAAAAAAAGGAATGAGAAGTTGAGAACTGCCTGTCCCATCGGGATCACTATATTGATATGTTGTTCGTTTACACTTTACAAACAGCAGTTGTACTGGGACAATAAGCTATCAACTTTGAACAATTGAACATAAAAACATGTACACTAATCTAATTTATAACAACCACGCAGAGGCATGGACCAATAATTTCTATTGCAATGCCATGTATCTGCCTAATATTATTTATTCTGATAATTGATTAGCCCTGTAGAGAAGGGGTGAAATAAAACGAAAACAAAATATGCATACCCAGCACGTATCCTTTTGGCACGCTTTACATGCTGCTTCAATAAGTCACTTGTATTGTATTCACCGTTGGCATTCTGCAAGATGGAGTAAATACATTACTATCCGGGGTCCAATATTGTAATGTTAAATGGGAACACTTGTGATCTTATGAAAAATAAAGGGGCTCAACAGACTAAAAACTAGTGGTAGATGATGCAGGATAAGAAACAACCCTATCTGAAAATTTCATTACCAAAGAAAAAAACTATTTCATCACTTAAGACACAACCAACGAACAGTTTATTGTTAAATTTGGTAGGGTACATGAGTATGAGACCGAATTTTGCAACATGTTGGCTTCAAATTATCTGTTACTTAACTCTTCCCCAGGAATAAAGAATGTATTGCCTTTTAGATGGGACAAATAATGTCTTAAGCAGAAGAAGATGCAAACAAGAGTAACCTATGTGGAGCATCAAGCTCAGGAAATACTTCTGCAAACACAAAAACTGGAAGGGTGCCAAGGGGAGACAAAAACAAGTGTAAAATCTAAAAGGCCCACCCTACAGAAGTTGTCTAGTCGCAAAAAAGACATTTGCAAGTCTATATCATTATGCTAGTTATGAAGGCCCAGATGCCAAAATTTTGTAAATGACCCCATGAAGGTCTAAGAAAGATGAAGAAACTGTTGCTTATTGCATCAAATGTAATTAGCTACATCTTTAATCCACTCCTTCATGGTCAAAACCAAAGATAAAACTAAAAAACATCATTATCTGTCTGCTAGTGACCTGCCACATGGTTCAATCAGCAGTGGCTTTTTCAAACTTACAGACTTTTTATATTTTAGAAAGTGGTATTGGCATGGTATAAGTTTAATGTTCAACTTTCAAACACCCAAAACTAACAATATGGACAACAAACAAGTAGAATCCAAAACTGAGTGAGGAAGATAATCCCAGTTGTGAGCATCATAGTGCATTTATCAGAAGATATTAACTTAGTGAGCCAAACTGCAAAGCAAATTTGATAGAAGATACCTTCTGTGGCTCTTCATCTGAATCTTCACCTGTGGCATCATTATTGTCCCTTTCTGATATTCTAGAATCTACAACTGAAGCAGGCAAAGGTCTTGGAAGAAGTGGTTCACCATTTCCAAAGCTTGGCTGAGTTAGTGAATAGAACATGAATCGTGTGCATTGATAACATGGCAACAAAGGAGTTTGGACAGCAGATGCAATCAAACATCAAGAAGAAAATGGGAAATGAAAACACAATCCATCCAGACAAGAAATAGTAGTGTGATTGGGTTTCTGGACTGTGGAGTCAAAAAAAGAAGAAAAGGGAAGGCAGCATCCATCTACACACAAAAAAAAAGACGTTACTCTGTGTAAACTGATAAACTGCATTTAGCAATTCAGACAGGCATGAAGCTTCTTAAACTACATGAACTAAAATAATCGAACACATGTAGCCTCTAGATGAAACAAAATCAAAAGCAATAAACACAAATTTACAATTTAAGACACACGTCTTTCACTGATCATTGCAGAATATGTTTGCCTTCATATAACTCAAATCATGTTTTTATAGTACAGCATAGAATTTAAATCATCCTAGACATAAATACAAGTAAATATTTGTCAAGGAAAAATATCAACACTTAATTTCTGAAAGCAGATTGACTCCTAAGCAAAGATTCAGATTTTTGACATATACTGATCAAATATCCAAGATAAAGGGATCTGAGCAGGAACGTATTACTTTTCATACATCATACAAATATCTGTACGAAAAACACATAAGTTTAATCAAAGTAAAAGATTTAGATAATGAGAGAAGGCACCATAAAGACACTTGAGGAATGTTAGACAGCTAATTTAGAGAAATTTCATAGTAAAGGAACAATGCTAATTCAGAACAGTTTTAACAAGCAACCATGTGACCAACTGCTACATTCATATGAAAGAAGAAAAGTATGCTAACCTGACTTTCATGTGGAACACCATTACGAACCCACGATCGACAGAGAGCGTACAAGGATCCCGACTCACTATCCAGCAGGTTAACCTTTGAGCAACCAATACAAAACCATAAGAAATGTTAACCGTTCTGTCCAACCCATGTTATTTATCTATAAACTTAGCAAAATGGTCCTTATTTAGCAGCATAACAATCCCTTCATAAATAAGATGATAGTCCTGACTTATAACTTAAGTATCAATATGATCATAACTGTTTGAAGAATATGAAACCGAACCAGGTTGTCTTGCTCAAACAGGAAAAGAGAAATGAAGATAGCATATAACATTGTCATAACCTTTTCCGCCTCTTTACTAAATACTCCCTCCATTCCAAATTGTAAGTCCTTCTGGCTTTTCTGGATACATAGTAGTATCCAGAAAAGCCAGAACGACTTACAAAATGGAACAAAGGGTGTATTAAAATATGTAAAGTCAAATGTCATCACGGATCCTGTGATCCATTTCTATGCAGATTATTCACTGGAAAAATTTAAAACTATCCAGAAAGTACAATCATCGCAATCTAACTAGACCATGTACTGAGTTACTGACAATAACACAATGATTAAACTATTGCAATTCACCCAAAGAACAAGTACTTACTTTGCGGTCATTAATCACCACAACTGTAGGTTCTTCTCTGCTATTTTCCCTGTAGTGAAGTCAAATGCAACATTTTATGCTACAAGTTTTGATTCCAAATGAGAAACACATGTGCTTATTGTTTTGTTGCATACCTGTCTTTTGGGTTGCTCTGCTCATTGGATGGAGCAACAGGTGGTATTGGATTAATCTATGATGTTCCAACAGAAACAGAACAAAACATATTAATATTCAACTTGATGAAGTCTTTCAAAGTATGATTTGGCTATTAATTTCTCTTACAACATATAACTACTAGAAGGCATGTAAAATATGAACACGATATTGACTTTTTTAAAAATCCTAATATGCCCCTGCATTTTGAAATCGACGGAGTAACATGCTAAGACGACAGACTACCCTGATTTATTATCTCCAGTATTCCACGAGGACTGAATGACCAATGACTAACCACACACGTTGCCATTAGATCACTTTAGCTACATCGTAACATCCCACAATATAGACAGATATTTAATCGAACACCTCAAAAGCATAAGGCCCAAGCCTCCACATGCTCCATAAGACTCAAAAAATCAAAATTTACCGATAGCAATCCAAAACTACAAGCAAACGTTTAATTGGAGGACCGAAGCTTTTGTCCAATTCACCTTCCATTCAGAGCTTACGAACAAAAATTCACTGACCTTGGGCTGCGAAGCTATAGGAACTCCTCGGGGAGGCTGCTCGGGCCGCGCCGCCACGCCCGCCACAAGCGCCCGAGGCACGGCCGCGAAGGACCGGGGCAGCTCGCGCACCAGGGGCTGCTGCTGCTGCTGCGCAATGGGGACGGCGACGGCGTGGGTCCGGGGGTACCCGACGGCCATCGGAGGAACGCGGCGGAGGTGCGCGGTAACGGCCGCGGCCGCGGAGTTGGACGTGGACGCGGATCTCAGGACGGGGTAGAGGATGCCGTGGGGCACGGAGGAGCCGTGGCCCGGAGGGTTAGGGTTCAGCGGCCGGCCGGTGAAGAGCGGGGGCGCCGGTGCCGCCGCTGTGGCACGGGGGGAGGAGGTGGCGAGGAACGCGCGGGGCAGCGGGTGGGATGCGGCGGGCAACTGCGGGGACGTGGCGGCCGCGGCCGCCGGCGCGGCGGCGGTGGCGGTGGCGGGCTGGGGCTGCCCCCGCGGCGGAGAGGCCATGGCGTGTGGCGTGGCGCGGGCGGAAACGGGAGCCGTGGACCGCGGCGGTGGGGTCGCGCTTTTGAAACCGTTTGAATCCGGTTCGTAGAGTGCGCGTGTTGCACTTGGCCACTTGGGGGTAGATCTTGTCGAATTTCAGGCGCGCGGATCGGATCGGCTCCACCATTCACGTTCAAACCAAAAGACCAAAATCCAATTGTCCATGATCAATAGACCCATAAGGGCTCGTTCGTTTTCAGCAAAATGACACCCGGAATCATTCCAGCTAACAAAAACTTATACAAATTGACTAACGATTCTGGTCGGGAATTGTTCCTAGTGATTCCCGGGAAAACGAACGGGGCCTAAATCAGATTTGCTCGAGCGATACAAGTACTCACTACATAGTTTCATGCCTATGGCTGCGGTTCAGCTGGAAATCAATTGGAATTTTGTGTTGGTACAAAAGTACTCGCTCCATTCTGAATTACAGGTACAAGTCGTTCTGACTTTATAATTTGATTTGAAATTGAGCGATACAAATGGGCCGCTGGTGACGGTTGAGAAGTGTAGCAAACCGTCTGAAACTGAAATCCCCTTCATTCATTTTTACATGGCTTGGTCATATAAAATTGGCCTTTATCATATAACTTTTTTGTTAACTTTTTTGCGAGACTTTTTTATAACATATTTAAAATGCAAATAAAACTATAATCTTTATAAATACTTTTAAATATATTAAATCATATCGATTTTGTAGAATGTATATAACTTGCCTGTCTTAAACTGAACGATGATGGCCCAAGCGTTAACTTGAAAAGTTTTTGCCAAAAGAAATCTTAGACTTGGCAAAATATTTCCGCAAAAATAACCCACTTTGTGACACTAGACTTTGTTGATACATGTGAACTTTTCTTGTACGATTTGTATTTTATTAAGAGTAATTTATAGTGAAATTGATATATCGGGGGAGGTTCCTTTTGATCAGGAGTAATATGCCACTCATTTTTTGTGGCCTTGTATTAATTGCTAGAAAATAGTCTACCCTATTACAATTTCTATAGCAATGCAGTAAGATGTCAGCTCTAAATTAATTAGATTTCATGTGGTAGAACATGTCAACCCAGGTTTAAAGCTCCATCCAAAAACTTCAGTGCGGGATTCTATGAAAATTGGAGTGTACGGGCGTGTTCGGCTGGCTTAAAGCCAGCCGGCTGGCTTGTTTTTCCTCTCACAGAATCACTGTTCACGTCCTGCCAGAACAATATTTTTCTCTCACAACAATCAGCCGGAACAGTATTTTTTAGTCCTGCCGAACAGGCCCTACGTAGGCAACTTCAAGATTTATGGAATTTTTTTGCAAGTTGCAACATAGTATATGACCCAGACAAGCTATTTTGTTAGGAGATGCTTATGGCATACACATTTGTCTCAGGGCAACTGCCACCTCTCTGCAAGCATTTGTAGAGATGCCACTATGGTGAGTTGCGCCCCTCAAGCTGATTTGAATTCGAGTCCAATGCCAACACAAATGGTGGTCGCATTGGCGGAGCTCAGGCAAAGATTTATGGCCAAGGAGGTTCATGATCAGCTTGATCAAATTCAAGTAGCTAGGATGTCTTCAACAGTTGCCAAATACTCCCATGCTGTCACATCTAGTCACTGTAGCAGCACGGCAGCCTGATATGTCTGTGTACAAGAAATTAGATGGATAGAGTTATATTTATAGCTTTCCACTGCAACTCAGTAAAGAGAGCGAGTTCAGTTTTGCCATCTCCTCTGCAGAGCTTCGGCCACCGCTGGTGCTTGTGCTATGTGTGTGCGCTCTGTTCTCCCTCCCTTATTCTACCTCTAGCCATACTATGTGGTCGGCAACGCCGGTGAACGGTCGGCTCACCCGTTGGGAGATCCAGGGGCCAACAAATGATATCAGAGCCGTACAAGCGCCATCGCCGGATTAACCGCTGGCGATGACGGACGGTTTAGAGATGGACAACAGCAGCGGCGCTGCTGTGGCTGCCCAGCCACGACAGGAGGTCGTCGTGCGCATGGTGTGGGAGGTCAGCGGCACCAGTTGACCGACGCTGACTCGCATCAACTATGGCGAGTGGGCGGTGACCGTGAAGGTCAAGCTCAGAACCCGACGGCTCTGGAATGCTATTGACAAGGGCACCGACAACGAAGAAGATGATATGTCAGCGTTAAAGGCTATCCTCGCTGCTGTGCCAGCGGAGTACAGAGAGCCTTCGGGGGCGAAGAACTCTACTAAGGAGGCGTGGGAGGCCATTGCAGCGATGCGCGTCGGCTCCGACAGCGCAAAGAAGGCGACGGCCTAGCTGCTAAAGCAGGAGTACATCAACCTCAAATTCAAGGATGGTGAATCGGTGGAGGACTTCTTCCTCCGCCTGCAGTCGCTTATCAACATGCTGAGGAGCCACGGCGTCACCATCGACGAAGAAAAAGCGGTCTACAAGTACCTCCACTCCATGCCAGTGAAGTACATACAGATCGCTCTCTCCATAGAGATGATGCTGGACTGGTCCACCCTCACTATTGAGGATATGACAGGCCGTCTACGGGCAGTGGACGAGCGCATGGAGGAGGCCACAACAACGACGGACAACGATAAGCTGCTGCTAACAAAGGAGGAGTGGGCTGCCCGGAGGAACTCCGGGGAAGCCTTCTCCAGCCGTGGTGGCAATGGCAAGCGCCACGGCAAGGCTTCTTCGGAGAAGAAGAAGAAGGTCGACCCCAACGCCTGTCGGCGCTGCGGGAATACAGGCCATTGGGCAAAGAAGTGCCCAAATCGCAAGCAGAAGAAGAAGGCTAAGGCTCATTTAGCGCAGGCTGATGAGGATGATGAGGCCACTCTCCTGATGGCGATGTCGCATGCAGGCGAGCTATGTGACAGCTGCCTGGCCGGGAAGAAACAGAGGAGGCTATCAATCCCAAAGGTGGCCAAGCATCGCGCGGCGGATGCTCTCGAGCTCGTCCACGGCGATCTCTGTGGGCCAATCAAGCCAGCCACAAACGGTGGTCGGCGGTACTTCCTCCTGCTCGTGGATGATTGCAGTCGCTATATGTGGCTGCAACTCCTGACGAGTAAGGACAAGGCGGAGGAGGCGATCAAGAAGTTCAAGGCGCGCACGGAGGTGAAGAGCAACAAGAAGCTGCACGTGCTACGGACTGACATGGTGGCGAATTCACTTCGGTGGAGTTCGCTGCGTACTGCACGGATCAAGGTGTGGTGCAACACCACACCACGCCGTACTCGCCACAGCATAATGGCGTGGTGGAGCGGTGGAACCAGATGGTGGTCGGCATGGCTCAATCCATGATGAATGCCAAGAGCATGCCGGCAGGGTTCTAAGGTGAGGCGATGACTACAGTGGTGTTCATCCTCAACCGTGCGTCCACAAAGACCCTGAAGGGCGTGATGTCGTTCGAAGCTTGGTATGGGCGCAAGCCGAGCGTGTCCTTCCTCTGGACATTCGATTGCATCGGCCACGTCAGGAAGACAAAGCCGGTCCTCACCAAGCTGGAGGACAGGAGCACACCGATGGTGCTCCTAAGCTATGTGGAAGGTACCAAGGCGTACCGGCTCTACGACTAAGGATGGCAACGGTCAGGTTCGGATCGGGTGGAGTCTCCGTGCACCCAAAACCGAAACCCAAAATCGAAACCCGAATCCGCCCCGAAAACCGATTCGGGTGGAAATCCATCACCAAAACCAAACCTGCGGATACCCGAAACCCGAACGGATACCCGAAACCCGAATGGATACCCTAAACCCGCGGATATATATACACATATTCACATGTATAAACAAGAGGCAACAAATAATAAATATTTTCATGAGTCAACTTTAAATAAATTTAATAATCTAAGT